TTTTAGTTGTTGGGAGGGCTTTTTGCCTCATACAACAGAAGCTCTTTTAAATAGAGGTATTCGTTGAGGGCAAACCCCTCCAGAGAAGGAGGTCGGGTTTCCCCCGGCCTTTCACTTTTGCTTTTGGCTAACAAATTGCGGAATTAATTGAGTATCAGATACGTCCTGCCTTCAAAAGTAATATAAGCTTTAAACTCCTCAGGGCTCACCCTGAAGTGTTTGCACTCGATGGCAGGTGGAAACTGGGCCGTTTTTGTCACGTCTGCATCATGAATAAAAGGATGGTTGATTTCGGTCTAAGATCACTGCTGTTCACAATTGTGGATCTTTTTACAGCCCTGTTGTACATTTAGGAGCTCATAAAAGAGCTCATTAAAAGTTTTCTAGTGTTACTCAGTAACTCACTAGCAGTGCTGAGATTGGTCTTTGTCACCCAGGCCCTTACTTGTTTGTTAGCACACAGATCCAAACCACTCTCCATTTGTGCTATTAACTTAACCAGGGATTTATCTGATGAAGTTGACAAAAGCTGTGGTATTAAGTTTGGCAAAATGGGCTTCTGAAACTAATGCAAGCTCTAATTACAGTGTTGTTTAATCTGCAGRAGAAGCTTTCCCTCGCTGACCTTTGTATGTGGTTGAGAAGGAAAAAAAACTTAAATGGTGTGAGATTCAAGCAGAAAATGCTGTTTGGTGCTTTTTGTAACTAAGTGCTGCCCTGACAGTGACTCCGAGGTTCCTGTGGCAGTATTTCGGGAACACTTCAGTGCCCCCAAGAGCTGTGTTGGGCCCGAGTGCAGGTGGTCCAGAGCGGTGAGGCTGAGCGCCTTGCCCGTGCTCGGCTGCGCCAGGGTTTGAGTGCCTGAGAGCCYGGGGGAAAGGGGGATCCCACCTGCCCGCAGCTGCTGGAAGCGGCATCCCAGCCTGTCTCCTCCTGAGCTCCCATCTGAGGAACGCCTGGAAGTCCTGTTGGGAGTCAAGGAGGAGTGTCGGGCTAGGGGATGCTCACGTTGGTGCCAGYGTAACAACCAAAGGGAAAATATTCAGGAAACTGTTGCCCTCTCAGTATTGGGATGGTCTGATGATCAAGTGCTGAGAGAGAGGTTTTATGTTTTTGTCATCATCTCAGTTTTCAGTTTTATTTTATGTAATGCTGTGGGTGTTTACTCTGGAATATCTACTCTTCAGCAGTGTTTTTGGAGTTGTAGATCACTTAAAAAACAAAAACAAAACAAAAACTTCCTTCATGGAAAGAAATCTTTCCTATGGTTRTCTTGATTAAATAAAAACTATAAATCTGAGAAAGTAATAGAAACACATATTCTGTATGCATATGCATAACCTGTATTTTAGGGCTCTTTTGGGTTGTTGTCTTTTTGAAGAGTGATTGTACTCTGCTACATACAATGACAATTTCATAAGTCATTATATGTTTATCTTTTACTCGAGTTGTATTTTATTGATTCTCTTTCTACAAAACATATTGTTACAGCTTTATCAGCAAGGYCTTAAGAAGCTAATATCATATAATGAAAAATAAAGGTGATCCAAAAAGATTTATAGTTTCTATTAGATACACAAGAGTATTAGTCGTTTGTTTCTTCCCTTGAAGAGCAAGGGGAAGACTCTTTGCTTGGATATCTTCTTGAATGGGAAGTAGTAAAAGGGGAAGGAGACTTTTTTTGTGTGTGTTAACTTTTAGCCCTATTAAAATATATGTATATTTTCCAAATGCTAATCTACATGTGAGTGACAGGAACATTTTGGTCTGCAAAATGAAATTATTGTCATATGAAGGCACCTTAGAGACTAATTAGGCAATGGCCAAGGATGTTCCAGGGCAGTTTTTCGGTTGTATCTCTAGAAATAGACTCTTCACCTGAGTTTCCCTAAAATTGCAGTCAGTTGCCAGAATTCCTGGTCTTTATTGTATTACCCACTTAGGAGCAGCATAGTTAAAGAGAGTATGGTGAGTAGGTAGGTACATGTCAAGTACCTAGGGAAGGAGCCAAGCTCTTCTCAGTGGTGGCCAGTGATGGGACAAGGGGCAATGGGTGTAAGCTGAAACACAGGCAGTTCCATCTCTCCATATGTGCACATTAATTTAAGGTCTTACTCTCTGTTKTGCCGCGTACTTCTTGTGGCAGAGCTGCCTACCTCTTATGTAGCCGAGATAATGATGACGTTTGCTTTCCCCTTGCTGCTCTTTCCCATTTGCTGCTGTCATCTACACATCCTGCCCTATTCCTCCTGCTGACTGCGTTGCTAATTTGACTGTTTTTTGAACTAAWTCATCTTTCCAAAGTGATAAATAAAAACAAAGCAAAAGCAGCTTTCATAATGTGAAAGTTAAGTTGCATGCTACTGCATAAGYATAGCATCCATTTCCAAGATCTTTTACTCTGAACTGTCTGTGAGATGAGAGAAAAAAAAAAGATAAAAATTCAAGTTTTCACTTATTACTAGAAGCAATTAGAAATAGTCCTATTCTGGCATTCAAGTAGTATTTTTGGAATGAATAGCAATGAATGCTACTGCTTCCTTGCCAAAGTAGTGTATGGGGGCGTTGTGATGTTTTGGAAGCCGAAGATACTAGTACTACTACTAATAATAATTGATGCTGATAACATTGTTGCCTCCAAAGGAGGGCTGTTTTTTTTCATTAGAAACACATATTTCCCCATTTACTGAAATGAATTCATCGAACTACCATGGAGTGTCTCATGAGACTGCCGCTGTGTCAGCGCTCAGACCAGAGAAGGACAGGCGATGGAGWGCAGTGAAGCTCTTTCACTTTGTTACATTTATTAAAAGCCCAAGGGAAAGTAAAACCATTAGTGGAAACTTTGTTACTTTGCGAAATAGGGTTATGGAAAAGAGATGCAGTTCACTTTCTTTAATCAATTTCATTGTTTATTGATTTTTGTGATAYGGTGTCCATAAGTATTGCTAGATTGAAAACCAACATTTAACAGAAAATATAGCCAGTGTATGAAATTTTCTATGAGAAAATGGAAGTGTTCCAAATCTATGTCAATACACTTCAGATGCAAGGGATGCTACAGTAAAGGTTGTTTTGAATGTCTTTAGCATGCAGCTGTAATTATCTAATTGCCAGTTATTTCATAATATATTCTGCTTTTTTTTTTAACCTCCTAAATTACAGTATGTGTGACATCTTGCAAATGTTTACATTTTATCAAAACTTATTTCATATCTTGTCTAATCATTAAGCAATTAACATTTTAAGATGGTGAGTTATGATCTGTACTTTAACCTTTTTCTTGAGCTTCCATGTGTTCCTTAGGTGGACCTGGACCTGTATTTACGTGTGTATGTGTGTGTGTGTATGTATATATGAGCTATTGGGCAAGCATGGGTGGAATAAGAATTAAATGCAGAGCAATGACTTTTTCGGGCAGCATGACGCTTGCGCAGCAGTGCTGAACAAGCCTTTGAGCAGTAGCTTTTCTGCTGCATTTTTTTTTCAACAAGCATTTCCATGTCTGTGTTACACAGAAAAATGTTGTTGATTCATGCATATTCAGGGTAATGTTCTTTGTAATGTTTGACCTAGGAGTAATTCTGGCACAAAAGTTATTCTTTGAAGCTTGTGAAAGTAAATGTGAGCAATTTATCATATTATTACAAAATCACTGTTAGAATGACAGGAGATGAGGAATCATTCAAGGTTTGTAGCCGTTTGTCAWATATTAAATTCAAACTCAGTAGTCTTAAGAGTAGAAATTAAACACCRATTACTTGTAAGGCTGCCTTTTATTTCATCTACATGAAAAAAGTGCAGTGGTAGCTGTTAGTTGTGGTAACATATATGTATATCTTCTAAGGGAGGGGTCTGCGCGGTTAATGACTGCTCATGAATTCAGCTAAAAGAGTAATAGTTTGCAGCAACTCTGATGCACAGGCTAGCCCTAGATAGGGCATTTTGAGGATCACTCCTGTTTTATAATGCCTGCCTGGCTGTCCTGGGCAAGAAGCAACATCTTCAGAGATTCCTTGGGAACATCTGACGAGGCTTTCRGAAGAAGCGCCTTGGCAAATGGTACGTTTCAGGGAGATTAGCCGCCTACTGTTCTCCTGCTGCTTCGTGTCTGGCGTGTTCTAAACAGAGAGAGTAACTTTCTATAGCAATATTG